CAGTCATGACATGGAGCTGTTTATTACAGTAATGTTTCGAACTGCAAACATCAGAAAGTACCCCAAAGTCCATCAACACAGACTGGGTACCTAGTCCAGAACTGTTTGCACAATGGGATGTGACAGTGCAGTGACAACCAGCGACCTTGTACTCAGAACAATGTGCAAATTTAGAAAGTGCAATTCTGGGAGCTGGCGCTGTGACGTAGCGGGTAAAGCCGCCTCCTGCAGTGCCGGCATCCCCTGTGGGTGCCAGTTCAGGTCCCAGCTGCTCCACTTCCGATCCGGCTCTCTGCTGTGGCCTGGGAAAGCAGAAGATGGCCCAAGTCCTTGGGCCCCTGCATCCATGTGGGAGACCCAGAGGAAGCTCCTGGCTCCTGGATTCGGATCAGGACAGCTCCGGCCATTGGGGCTAGTTGGGGAGTGAACCAGTGGATGGAAGACCTCTCTCTCTCTCTCTCTCTCTCTCTCTCTGCCTCTGCCTCTGCCTCTGCCTCTCTGTAACCCTGCCTGCATTCCATGGTAAGGAGAGGGAAGGCAGCTGGACAGGGCACCCGAGAGCCCTCCTTGCTGGTGTGTGGCCGGCCCAGTCCCCTCTCCCATGGCTGCAGGTGCCCTGTGTGACCCACAGAATGGGGCCCAAGTGGAGGCTGTGGACGGAGGCTTCTGCTGTGGGCGCCGGCTGCATTCTCCGATCACCTGCTTTGTGGATACTCGGGTGGTTGTGCTGAGTCCACATGGCCAGGGAGGGAGGACTCCCGCCAACCACCACGTGGCGGCCTCTGAGGCCCGGGCCAGAGCCAGCTCTGCCACTCCTCCACGGCCAACCCTGAGGAACCGCCCAGGCAACAAGCGGCTGTTTAGGGGAGGATGGCTACACAGCAACAGATAACCAACACAGGTGTTCACACAGTCTGGGGGAAATTAAACACGGACAGGAGTTAGGAGAAGGACGTCTGTCTGTTTCAGGGTGAGGGGAACTGGGGAAGGGGATGGGTGAGGCTTTATTTATTCATTTTGCCAAGACTGATTTATTAGAGAGAGAGAGAGAGAGAGAGAGAGACAGAGACAGAGAGAGGGAGGGGGAGAGACAGAGACAGAGAGAGAGAGAGAGACAGAGAGAGGGAGGGGGAGAGACAGAGACAGAGAGAGGGAGGGGGAGAGACAGAGACAGGGAAATCTTTGACTCGCTGGTTCACTCCACAAACACACACAACAGCCGAGGGTGGCCCAGGCTAAAGACAGGATCAAGAACCACATCCGGGTCTCCAGAGCGGGCGACAGGAGCCGGAGCACTTGGGCCGTCCTCTGCTGTTTTCCCAGGTGCGTCAGCAGGGAGCTGGATTGGAAGCAGAGCAGCCGGGACTCGAACTGGCGCTGTGATGTTTGCTGTATCCCAGTGGCGGCTCCACCCACCTGGCTGCAGTCCAGCCCAGGGTGGGCCTTTAGCTACGCTTGCTTTTTATCCCATGTCACATTTTTGAGAAAGCGATGACACAATGCTAGCATTTGTTACACCTGGACTTCCTGTAGGCACACGATGTGTACGCTTGGCCCCGGAATCTGAATTCTCCCACTTGTGGAAGGAGAATCTATAACAAAAATAGTGTGTGCACTGACATGTACAGGTCTTTTTCTTTTAAAAGGATTTATTGTTATTATTTGAAAGGTAGAGTTAGAGAGAGAGGGAGGGAGAGACGAAGAAAAAGAGAGATCTTCTATCTGCTAGCTTCCTCTCAGTCTCCCACATGGGTGCAGGGGCCCAAGCACTTGGATCATCTGCTGCTGCTCTTCCAGACACATTAGCAGGGAGCTGGGCCAGAAATGGAGCAGCCGGGACTTGAACCAGCACCATATGGGATGCCGGAGCTGGGGGTAGAAGCCCAACCTGCTGCACCACAGCGCCGGCCACAAACCCTTTTCTTGTCTTGTTCCCTTAACAATACAGTAGAACAACTGTTTGCATCGTATGAGGGCTCGTAAGTCATCCAAGGGTGAATCAACGCGTAGCTCAAGCGTCGCGGTATTTTATGCAGGGAACCGGAACCTCTGCGGATCTGCCTATCTAGGGCTCTGGAATCACTACCGCGGCCGCGGAGGGACAGCTGTCTTCACTGCTCTGTAACTGGAAACATCTTACTGTTACTTAAAACATCCTACAATTAAAAACCAGCACTTTAACCAGAAAGGCAGCCAGGGTGTCGGCTCCATTTATCAAAGTGCTGCCTCCTCCGGTGGCAGCCCGAGGAAAGCAATTACCCTAATGGCTAAATAATTTGCGCTGGGAATGAGATATCCATCAGCGTGCATTCCCTCAGCTGGCAAAATCAAATGTTTAACTACCAAAACCTTAAATACATTTTTAAGACAGCAACGAGAGATGCACAGAAGAGGACCCATCAAAGAATTCGCGAGGAAAAGCAGAAAAATACGTCGCTCTAATGGCGATGCTCGCTACTAAAGCATTTCCCACGGCCACGTGCCTGGGAGACGCCAGGGCCACACTCGGGGGCGCCGAGGGGACGGAGTAACAGCTGTCGCCGCGGCCGCCCCTACTTCAACAGTGTTTCACCGGGGGACAGACACTGCGGCAAAACCGCTTTGGTTCCTAGATTCCCTGAGTTACAAAGAAGTGGCGCACGCTCCCTGGGCAGTGCAGTGGGGATCCTGGTCGCACAGTCCTAACGACAGCCACCAGGAAGGGCCTCCCTCCGTGACACCGAGGCAGGGAGAGCTAGCACACACCTGGACGCTGACTGGACAAAGAGGAAAGCCCAGGCAGGCCCAAGGAGTCCCACAGTGCTTGCCTCCATGAACTCATGGCAAAGCAGAACGAGAGGATACACTTATTTTGGTGCGAACACTTTTGGAATGCGTCTCCAGACGGTGTGTGGAACACCCGCTTTGCCATTCGCTCTCTACGAGCCCAGCTCTACTGCACGCGTCTCAGCATTCCTCCTGAATGTTCCCTCACTTGTCAGAGAGGCCAGTGTGTCCAAACCAGACTTCCAGCGTGGCTCCCCTGCTCTGTCCAGCAGGATCCCGGGGACACTACGACCTGGGGAGGAAAGGTTAGCGGTGGTCTCGCTCTCCCTGCACAGCTGTGCCGCCCGGCGCTCCCCCACACACCCTCCCCTCCGCCCTCTGTGCTGCTCGGGTGGAGCTGGGCGCAGCTCGGCGACACCTCCTGCCCTGCGACCCCACTGAGTGTTCAAAGCTCTCTGTCCATGGAAGCCCTACTGCGTTCCCGTCAGCTGCAGGGGGATCTGGCGTGACTGCTTTCTCTCCCGCATCCCGGTCATCACTCCCTCTGAAACTGCACACTTCAGTCTTCTCTCGTAGTGTGTTCCCTACAGGAGCTTGGGGTTCCATTCTGTTCCCGACTCCAAACCCAATGTACCCCCAATTTTTTCCAGTCCTTGGGGAATTACTTTGCCAAGTGCCGCTCTCCCAGCTGCCGTCCCATACATGGGTTCTCTCCACTCTCCTCCAGCCATCTGATCCCACACTCGGTCTAGGATTTGCCTCCTCCTTGCTGGCTTAGCCCAGGATCAGAAGTGCCCGGTCCTCCCACTGAACCACGTCCGCGAGCCCACTGGGAAATCGCAAGACCCCTGCAGTCGGTTTCCGCAGCCTTTTCTGAAGCTCCCCCCCCCCCCCCCAACTGGCTCGCAGACTAACACCCTGAAGCCACACCCACACCAGTCCTCCAGAGGAATTATACAGAAAAATAGGCTTAATTCTCTAGGATTAACATCATAAGGCATGATTAGGTATTAGTTATTTCATAATGAGGACAGCTTTGAGGGAACCTACACACAGTTTGTCTACGACTTTTCTTCTTCACTCGTTTGGCTTTAACTGGTGAGAAACAGCGTCCCCGAGGTCCCGTGTTCCTGTAGGGCAGGCGACTTCCAGCGTCATGTGGGAAGGAATCGTGTGACTCAGACTTATCGAGGGCGTGTTTACTGGTCCATGCTAACTACCGCTCAGGAAACCCAGTATCCACGTTCTGGCTAATATTTGGTCACTGATAACAGGCCTGAAAGAAAGCATTCAACAGCACTTGATGTGTCATCAAGTCCAAGATATGGAATTAACCCATCCGTCATCAGAGGGATACAGAACACATCGTCAGATACCCACAATGGGAGCTTTGTCAGCCGCGACAAGAACAGAATCCTGGCACTTGCAGCAACGTGGGTGGGAGCGGAGGACCTCATGTTAAAAGAAACAAGCCAGGGGCTGCTCTGTGGCCTGGCAGGCTAAGCCTCCACCTATGGCGCAGGCATCCCCTATGGGCGTCAGTTCAAGTCCCGGCTGCTCCACTTCTGATCCAGCTCCCAGCTGTGGCCTGGGAAAGCAGTGGAAGATGGTCCATGTCCTTGGGCCCCTGCACCTGCATGGGAGACCCAGAAGGAGCTCCTAGCTCCTGGCTTTGGATCAGCCCAGCTCTGGTCATTGTGGTTATTTGGGGAGTGAATCAGTGGGTAGAAGACCTCTGTCTGTCTCTCTCTCTGTGTCTAATGCTTGCTCTCAAATAAATAAAATCTTAAAAAAAAAAAAAAGATGCCAGACACAGAAAAATACCATGTTATCTTTCAGATCTGGAAGCTAAAGAAAAAAAAAAACCCTCAATCTGAACAGAGAATGGGGATTCCTGGAGGCTGAGGGACTGGGGACAGAGCCAGGTTGGACAATGGGAGGGTGACCGGGGTTAGGCGGAAGGGATGCACAGCTGACGTCACGCAGCACAGGGGGGCGGGGAGAAGATCTCCCGGACACTTGTGAGCAAACACCAGGAGGGAGCTCCAGCTGAGTCTTCAAAACTCAGAGGCGAAACGCCATCACCCTGATTCCTCAGTAGGCGTCAGGAACACGTATTGAAGTGCCGCCCCGTACCCCAAACCTAAGTACAGTCATCGCCAAATTGAGATCAAGAGTGGCCACCCGCGGCTGCCGCCACGCCCAGGTCTCCGGTGGGCGTGGGAGCCACTCACCTGCGCAGGAGCTTGCCGCGAAGCCCACCCTCCTCCGAGCTCGGTCGAAGACGACGTAGAAGCCCTCCATGACGGTGGCGCCGATCACCAGCGCGTTGGTGGAGGGGGAGATGCCGAATCTGTAGCACTCATAGTTCAGGCCGGCCCCCACCATGGGCTGGATGTAGAGCTGCGGGGGGAGGACAACCGGGGGACACCGTGAGCCGGGCGAGGTCCAGCACGAGCGAGGCGCAGCGTGCGCCCACCCCTCCCAGGGGACAGGCGGGGCCCCGGAAGAGGCAGGCTGATTTGTCTGTGTCCAGCACGCAAGGGAAGCTGGGGTCAGCCCTTGTGCAAGGCACAGACACACGGTGACACACAGGGACCACTTTAACTGTACACGGCTTACATGTCCATCGATTCATCTGTCCCCTCGTCGGCTCACCCATCGTCTGTTAGTCTGTCCATCAGTCCCTTCACCCACCCACCCACCCTCCCATCCAACGACCCACCTACCCACCAGTCTGTCCATCAGTCTGTCCATCCATCTGTCCATCCAGCCACCCACCCATCCATCACCTACTCACCAGTCTGTCCATCAGTCTTGTCCATCTACGCATCCAACTACCCATCCAACCACCCACTCAGCATCCAGCCACCACTCACCAGTCAGTCCATCATCCGTCCATCCATCCATCCATCCATCTGTCCGTGCACCCGCCCATCGACCCGCCCGTCTTCCCAGCAGTCACTTGTCAAGCACTCGGTTCAATGCCAGCGCT